TTAAATTTACTAATTTTGTTACACTCAAATTGTGTATACATTAAATTTAATTACTTACCCATTAACAATTTATTCTTTTTCCAGTATTTTAGATTATAATATCATGAATTTAACATCTTAATTTACATCGAATTATGTTTTAAAAAATTCTTCTCTGATTTTACGCAGTTGTCATTTATTATGTACTTATTATTTCCGATGTCAAGTATTCAACAATAGACGTTGCTGATTTCATATCACTATATCAGCATATTCTTGAATTCGGCATAACGTATTTATTATGTGTTACTGTACAAGTATTTATTATATAATATAATATAATATAATATAATATAATATATAATATATGTATGTGAATTAGCAGTTTGTCAAAAAACATATTTATTATTCATAATGTGAATTAAAAAGTGTTATTTATATTAAAACCAAAAGAAACATTGTTAAAACATAAAATCATGCTTGGATAAGAAAATTGCGAATTTCACAACTTATAAAAAGTCACCACAAAATGATTGAAGTAGGTGAGTAGGGAATTATGATATTATATAATAATCTTTTATGCTAAATGAAAAAAAGAAATGTAGGTTACTGCATTGCTGTACCTAAGTTTCCAGTGTTTTTCGTTACTGAGTAAGTTACTGTAATGCATGTGTTAAATTTGAAATCAATGATTCACCATTGTTTAAGGAAAATGATTCTGAGTGAAGATGGTCTGTCAGTTTAGTAAGTTTATTTTGTGATATATTTATATGGTTTTTATAGTAATTTGTTCGACTATTCGCAATATGGTGTGTTGTTGAATTAATTTTTGTCGAAAATATTGCACTTCATACACTATTAATATTTAATCATCACAAGAGTATATATTTAATATTTATATCATATAGGTATTACTGTTATTAACTGTTGAATCAATTTCAACTTACCGTAGAATGGTAGTGATGTGAAAAGTTCATGGTATAAATAGTATAATCTAATTTAAGCTAAATGTTTTGAAAATGGCATTGTGTACTTACATAAAATACAGTGTTGGGTTAATTACTTTTAAATTCTAATTTAGTTACTTAACTCGTTACTTAGAGATTAAAGTAATGAAGTTATTTTATTATTTACTAGTATACAATTGCAATGAAATTACTTTAGTTTTCAGTCAATCAAATAAGAGTATCTACTAACGTTACCTCCACTCTAAAAAAAAGCAAAAGAACAGTTTATATATTATGTATTTCTTTAATTTCTTAATTTCTGTCAGCAATCTCTCTTTGACAAGCAGTGTAAATAGAAATACTAGGTATATAAGCATATAAGTATACAGGTATATAAGTTTAATTAAAAAAATGTGTACAAACAAATTTAATAAATAATAAATAGTTTATTATAAATATAGTATAACACATAATAATTATTAATATTTAACTGTTGAAATATATTTGCATTAATAAATATAAAAACATAATCATATCAGTCCACCTGTACTTTTATTTGGTACTCTACTATTGAGTACTGGTACAATATATTTATATAATAATATATACACACATTTCAAGTCCCTGTGATGAATATTTATGAATTACAATAAAATATCCGAAATCTTTATTCTTTGTTTAAATGTCTTATTTCATTCAACCATTGTGCTTGTGGGTCTTTTAGATATTGTTAGTTTCATTATGAACTTCTTCTTGAATACAATTTCTTTGCTTCAACTGAAAGATTTTTTTCAAATTTTTGTGATTTTGAAAATTTTTTAAATATTCTTATAATTTTTCTAAAAAACAAAATCATGCCCAACTATGTGTGTTCAATAATTTTGAGTATCTAAAAGAACAATTTATGTGATATCTTGTATTAAATATTCAAGCGTCTTAACTGAGCCTATCAATTATTGCTTGTACGTATTAGGTTACTATTTATGTTCTCTTAGATATTGAACATCGATTAGAATCAACTTATTATTTAATGCATTTTTAATATTTTATGATTAAAGGCAAATACAAAATTTAAGTGAATTTAAACTTGATGTGAATGTATAAATGTAAATTATATAAAATATAGTAAATTCATAAACACATTATTGAAATAACGTGTTCTTTAATATTTATATTATATGTCTAACACGAAATTTAATGTTGTTTTGATCATTTAATAAACATTCTAATGAGAAAATAATAATTCAGAACGGTTTCTTCTACTTGTACACCTACCTTGATTTACACACGAAACTCACATAAATACAGAAAACGAGAAAAAACAAGAGAGAGAGAGAGAGAGAGAGAGAGAAAGCCCGTGCCCACCAGCCAACTGTTAAATATTATTAAAATAAAAAACACGAACAAATGTGTTTTATAGCCGTCGTGTTGCGAGCTTGGGTAACAGCTGGGCGGCTGACCATTGGCAATGGTATACCATTTATAGTATAACGACGGTGTGCTGCTTCAGCTATCGAATGACCGATATTAAACAGCTCCTTTGTGGCTTTGTCGAAACAAACTTAGACAATTTCATTTCTAGAGAAGTCCGTATCATATAATATTTTAAGGATTGCTGCGTATCACCAGTTCGAAATAAAAAAAAGTTATGTATAAAGAAAATGTGGTGATTATTTTTAGCATCTATGATGGTATTTGATGTATTTCAAAAGAAATATTAAATACTTTTATACTTCCACCTGCTAAACGACTCCTTGCTGAATTAGATTCATGAATTTTGTTTCTAGTAAGAAATTGAAGCAAGTTTGTACTTTACTTTCAGACGTGGGGGTCAAAACTCGAGAATCCTTGAACAATGTACAGTGAAATAAATAAGAAATGCAATAAACAAAATACAAACATTACATTTAATTGGTCACTAAAAATCGTTTTAAATCAAATACAATGATTTATTATTGAACTAAAATCAAACACATCCTAACATTCATTATAATGACTTACTTACTCAAAATTGAAGTACATCAGATTCTGACTGCAGCAGAGAGGTTGCCTGATTGATAGCTTTTTTTATTTCTGTTCTAACGTTACTATTTTTTTCTTTAAGAATATGTAATGATATGTAAAATAAGTTTATTTTATTATTATTAGAGAGCTGGAGAGAAATTAATTTTGGGTTGAATTAAATATTATTATCCTTTATGATTTGATTGTATTTTTAACGAAATATAGTCTTGCTTCTTTAATTTAATTTTAAAATTTAGATTTTCTGTTAAATATACCATTGGTTAAAAATATGGGAGTTATACATATATTGTTTTGTGAAACAAAAATAGTTTTTGGTTTTAATATTTGATAGAAGTTGATGTGTACATTATTTGCTCAGAATTAAGCTTATTTCCTAGAAGCATTTCCAAACAACTTTTATGTATCACAGCAATAATTAATAGTGGTTTATCGTGACGCGGTAGCAAGCACAACTACTAGCTCCTGGATGGGTGACCACCCGGGTTCATAATAGTGAAAAACCTTGCCTCATATACACGTGTTTGCTACCTACCGTAACAATCGTAAAAATAACTTACCGCACCAACATTACGCCTACCACGGTTCATAACCCCTACAACAGCTAATGGCCTTAATCGCCAGGCTTAGGTTTAATAAAAAAAAAAATAATAATTAATAACTGGTAACGCAACAATTTCGATAACACCTTTCCTACACTAATATAATATCATTGAGAACATTGAATACTATATTTAGTATTTAAATAATATCATAAAATATTGCTTAAATATAATAAGATAAAACTAGTACAAATACGTATTTTTATCTAATCGTCTACATAATATACCTATCATATTATTTTCAATGAAATGTTACAGCTAAAAAGTCAAAATTTGCACTTAGAAAAATATAAATATTTATTCAACTAAATACTAAGTATGTACTAGATAGGAACACTTATTACACTCTTGTATTAATTAAACTACCAAATTAAAGAATAAATTATATATTCTTAAATTTTAAAATGAATACAAAATATAATGTTATTACGAATAAGTGTTCCATTTTCCTACGTATACATTTTTTTTTAGTATTTAATTTAATACAAAAAAAAAAAAATAACAAATGTTGTAATTATTGTCGGACGCTTTAAAACTAAATTGTTCATATTTTTTATCCTGTTATCTATTATGCATATATTATTATTGCTTTTTATTTCAGATATCACTATTAGTACCTATATATACATATATGTATATATTAATATTCGTATGAACTCATTTATAGATTATCAGGACTACAATTAAAATAAATGACTAATCATTGCGGAAAGTACCTAAATTAGTCCACCGACCAACCTTATAGACGATAAAAAATAAAAATTACAGATTTAATATCATCTATTATGCCATAATAAATATTTATCGTTTATATTATTTGCATTATTTAAATGGTTCAAATATTATCAGCGGTAGACCAACACACATTTTTGATCATATTTTGTAATTTTAGTATAGTCACTCCTAAAACATTTATGTTTTTATTATAGATACTTTAAATGTGTTGTAGGTATATAAGAATTTGTAATGACGAATACAAATAAAAAATATGGTTTGATTTATAATATAAAAAAGTACCTTTTCCTATATTCATTTTTAGTATTTTTAATTTTTAATTAATTGTGCACAATCCAATAATATTATAGGATTTTTATCATATATTATACTATACACATTCTTGTATCCTTTTAAATGGTTACATATTCTAATTTTTAATACTTGTGGAACCTCTAACCTTGAAAAATAAAAGTATTGTAGTTGGAATTATGTAGTACATGATTTGTAGAAAATGAGTTCTATCAATTTTAAAACCCTTTTATAAATATTTCTCGGTACAGTTTGTTTGATAATTTTCACATTACCTAGGTGACATACTTTATAAAAATATTTATTTTAAGTAGGTATTTTGTATCAATTACAACCAATATTAAAATTCAATTAGTTTTAAAAAAGTTATACAGTACAGCAATATTTTAAATTTTGATCAAATTATTAATAAAAATTTATTATTATGAATGAAAGGACAATTTTAACTTTATCATTTAATGCACAGAGCATAAAATTTCAAGATAATGTGTCTATTGGTGGAAAAATATCTGCGAATGTAAGGTTCTTGAGTTACAAGAATCAGATAATATTTGAACCAGTTATTCCTTCTTCGAATCCCATGTTTTTGTATACGGGGAGATCGTTTACATTTGGTATTAGTAATAACATGAAATGTGAATTGTATAAGGAGTTTATCTTGCACGTAAATCTACATCAAACTGATCCGGATAAAATTTTGTCAGAATCTGCGGTAGATATCACTAACGCTTTCCGCGATGTTTTCTGCAATGATCCTACACCCGAAGATTCACCAAAACAGGTTAGTCGAATAAAATCTGTTGTATGGATTTACTCTTTTCAGTAAAAAGTTAGATGTAAGTTAACAAAACCTTTGATATAGGTATGTCAAATTATAATTAATGTTGTACACCTTCATAATTTAAGGTGAAAACCAAAATACGATTTAATGATGATAAGGGTGGACTCATAGCCACTTTGGACGTTATCATTGGTATAATTCCACCTGTACCGAACCTCGTAACTGACTTGCCCATTGATGTAGACATTAATAATCAGTTCATTAATACAAAAATTGACTGCCATACATGCCCAAAAGTATCAGATCTTAAATGTCCCGATGATAACGAGCACAGTGATGACGGTGAATGGGATATGATGACCGCGGAGCTCAAAAATGGACATTCAATTGCTATTAAATATAAAAGGAAATATTATTCATTCCAACCAACAGAACCCGATGAACAATGTGAAGTAGAAGAAGATACCACTACTAAAAGCGAAGAAAAACTAAATTCTCACATGCTTGAATTGCTGTCAGATATGCATAGACTAATAGCAGAAAATCCAAAATCCAAAAAACCAGAGTTAAAATAATTAAAATTAAAAAAATGTACAGTACAATTATTTAAATACATAAATAAGAAAATTACTTTTTATGAAATGGCAATGCGTAGAAATATAGAAAGTGTAACCTTTTTTCTTGAATAATTAAAATCAAAAGAATGCATAATATGTAATAATCATTTATAAAATTGCCTAGGTATTATACGAGATATTAATTTGTTGTGTTTATGAATTTGATTACAAATAAATTGTGAATAACATTAGAAAAATGGAAATCTTAAAATTATTTTCATTATGTTACCTGATCTTTTACTCTAATTATTCAATCATTCTAAAAATAGTTCTAAATATTATAGAAATTATTTATTGTATTACTTTATTAGTACCTATAATAACTACTAAGATGAGATAAGTACCAATAATGATGAATTTTAAGAGTTGTATTAGTATAATAGTATTAATAGTAATAATGTATTAATATTTTTTTCTTGTTGAAAGCAATTTATAATTTAATAACGGTGGGTAGGTACTAAACAATTTACGAAAAAAAAAAAAACCAAAACAAAATACCACCACGATTTTTTTTCTTAATTTTAATTGCGACCCACTGAGCATGAAAAATGATTACGCTGAATATTAGAAGGCTGCTTTGGAAAATTAATTCCGACAAACAAAAAAATAATAATAGGTACATTGATCTACAATGAGTTTTTTACTCTCGCTGAGCATACTATTAAACATAGTACAGTATGCACTAAATTAAGTAGCGACCAGTTAAATTAAATAACCTAACTGTTTGATAAATTTAATATTGCACGTATATTATATTAATAAAATAATAATAATATGTCGTTGAAGAGTTTCAACGTTTTTTTTCCAACTGGTATAAATGCCGTTAAAATCTGTACACTCAAATGTAGGTACCTACAAAATTGAATAATTAGGTAGGTAACTCATTTACAGGTGATTCACAGACAATTTTAATTGGTCCATGCTTTTGTGATTAACGTATAAATAGAGGAGTGCTGACAATCAATAACCACGTTAAAAAGTTATGCAATATTGTAAAACATTTTACGTTTGTTGTATTTTTTCTACCATCGTTGTATTTTTAATAATATTAAAAAAAAAACAATATCCTTCCTATAATAATGTCAATGATTTTGTCGTTTAAGCCATTTGAGTGCAATATAAAATTCCACTAGTCAAACGAAAGTGTTCAGGTCAATTTTAAAACGTAATTGCAATAACAGGAAAACGAAATACCTACATAGTTAGGTAAAACTACCTACTTTTACAAAGTTACAAATATTCTGTGTCTTATTTTGTTGTAATAATAAATCAAAATTATATAAATACTATTTTGACTTCATCAAGTTACCCTTAGGTGGTATTAAATTGGAAGCAGATATAGAACCAATTATTCAGTATTCAATTGGGGATATAATTATGTATTTTACTATATTATAATGTAATTATATCATACGTATGAAAAGTACTTATTTGAAACCACCGATTTTCAAACTGAATTAATATTGTAAGATATTTTGTTTGAACATACACGAATGGAGAATGATAAAAACACATAGTTACTGCACTAATAAATATTTAATCTAGATTTTAGCTCAAAGATTACCAGTTTGATTTTTATTATATTTCATATAATGTCTATTTTGTTTTTAATATATAATCATATACACCAAATATATAGTCCAAAATGGAAAACATCAGAGGAAAAAAACGTTTCAAACATTTCGTTGGTCTAATTCTCTGATTCGTTTAGGTCGTACTTTATTTTTTCTGGCTCTTAAAATAATTAGATTCGCGATACTACTATTTCTAATCATCAATATTTCATATAGGATTCACTTACAGGATTGGGGTTGTGACTTTATCATACTATGCGTTTTTTCTTCGTTTTAATCACAAATAATTCCAACATCGAAAAAAATGGAGTTACCAACTACCTTTTCGGCTTAGGCTGACGATACTTCATAACACAACATGTAAACAATTATCTTACAATAATACCGGAAGTGATCAATTATAATATGCGGTCAGGACTCAGGAGTCTTGATAAAGATATCATAGAACATTGACCGAGCTCGAAGGTATTGAGTTTAAGTTCACATACGTATAAATTTATTATTATAAAGGGATTGTTTTCAATTTTCCATTGTGCACATATCATAAATAGTTTCACCATATGTTTTTCTGGGAAAAACTAAGTGTAGTTTATTTTTGAAAATATTTACATACCGTAAAGTTGTTATGTGTGGCCGACAATATTGTATCAGTTATATTATTATTACGCCAATACGAAGTAACGCCATGTCCATCGTTACAGAAGAAAATAATACTGAATTGGAATATTTTTCTATCCATTTAGAAGATATATCTAGTCGGTTTTCTCTGTTTCAACGGTATTCTAATTGCCCGAATTCACATATTAGTTATTAGCTTTGACGCAAAAAAAAGTTTGGAGAACAATAATACGTATAATATAACATTGCGTTCTTTGGATGCAAAGTTGTTATTGAACAATCTAAGGAAAGTCCCAAAAACCATTACGGTAGTAGTGGTATATTGTTTCAAAAGTAGCCAAAATGTATTTATATAAATTATTTGAAAACACCATTCTAACATAATATTATATACGGTAATTAAATATTAACATTAATATTTACATCGTATTCCTAATATTAAATATACAATAACATAAACCAATAGCAGGTACTAATTTACGATTATTTCTAAAATTCAATTCATATAGTTGGTATCTATTACCTACCTATTTGTAAATATGAAAACCTCTAGAATTTATTGCTGATATTAAAGACATTTTATACATTTTTTAAATTTAAAAAGTCAGTCTAGTGACCTTTATCAATTTTTTGACCGCTGTGGGACGTTCGTAAAAATAATACGAAGGCGTTCAATAATAGCACTCGATCGATTATCAAACGTACGATACCAGCTTTTACCGGGGTTAAGCTATAAGCGGGAGTTTGCTGAAACTTTTCAAACGCTTAAGGTCTTACTTGATTTAAGAGGGGACGAAAAATAAAATAAAACGCAAAACGACATTGGCATTGTTCCACATTATTGTAAAATGTATTGCAGAGCGTAATGCGTATATAATGACATCCACCACAGTTTATGCATTTACCGCACGCTATTTGGTGGTATATGATATGCCGCGTATGGTACACATAATTTTCTTAATTATCAATAGGGTTTTTAAGTTGTAGGAATTGCATATTGCTCATATTTTCTCGATTTAAAACAGATCAAACTAGAAATCAGAGCTATACAATGGCGGGTTTTAAAATTAAAAATAGATTTATTGCTTATAATATTTTCGTCAATAGTAGGAACAAGTGCATATTTTTGAATTTCATACTCATTTTATGCATATTTAACATTTTCTAATCAAAATTGATCTTTCTTTTTCCCAAGCTGTGTATTTAATGATAATGTTGAACATAGAACTTAATATTATTTAATGTACTTATTAATTGTTATCGTCACGTCACAGTCGACTATTAATTTAACCGATGAGAATTTCATGTCCATCTCGCTAATATTCCAATGAATGTCTTATTCATCTTTGAATCTTTCCGAATATTTGTTTAACTATCTATTTTTTTCAGTTCATTAAAACGACAAAAATGTCAATTAGGTTTTATCCATATTATAAATACTGTACATTTATCTGTCTATATTTAACATTTTTTTTTATTGCAAATAAATAACATAAAATGGTTTTTAAGAATTTTGAATAGATTTGACTTTTTATGAATATTAATTAAATTTTTTTCGTCCATGTTTAATATTTTTTCATGCATATTTTACAATTTTTTTCATTTTTTTTTCTTTTTTAAGTTTTAACGAGTCCTAATATTATCAATATCATATGTAAGAAATCGTACTTTTTCATTCATTAACTATATAATGGAATTATTGTACTAAAAATTGTTGATATTCATGAGTTGTGTAAGTACATGATTTAAAAAAAATCATGAAATACAGGTACTAAATCTTACCATGAAAAACAAAACGGTGAAGTAAAAATAGTCGGATAATAATATAAATAAATATAAAATGTATCAACTTAGCAAGTCAAAAATAAATAGAGACATCCTTTCTATGGATACCGGGACACTGTGGAATAGACGGGAATGAGCTAGCAGATAAAGAAGCATCCAAAGCAACCTCATCTACCGCGGACACCCAAATTCTAAATCTAAGTATTTTCACTGATTTAAAAAAACTCATTCACAAGGTTCTATACCATAAATGGCAAAATCACTGGGCCAAAAAAAAACACCAAATTAAATTCAATAAAAAACAATATCCAAGTATGGAAATACCCCGGCTTGAATGGGAAAGATGAAACCATTTTGAATCGCCTTCGAATTGGGCATACTTTTGCAACACACAACCACCTCATGGCTAGAAAAGACCCTCCCATATGTGAATCATGTGGTGCGGAGTTCACCGTCCCACACATACTTATTGATTGTTTCAAATACTCAGACGCAAGATCCAAACACCATATACCACAAAAATTAAGTGAGGCTCTATTGTCCGATCTTCAATCAAACATCAATATAGTCAACTTCCTAAAAGAAATTAAATTATATAACCTAATTTTAGCCTTAACTAAAATGTAAAAAAAAAGAATGTAATTCAGTAACTATAATGGCCTAGTAACCGATGTTTTTAAGTTCAATAAAAAAAAAATATTTAAAATGATTATGTCAAGACTTAATTTTACAGTAAAAAAATGTAATATGTGGTGTATTAATATTATTGTTACTGATTTCACATTAGTTCACTTCTTATCATTTCTTGTCTATGCCGATAACTTAAAACTTAGAAATTTACCACGGACTAAGGTTAGTAACATATCCGATTTTATATCACCGATTACAGTCGTCTCGTTGTTTTCGTGTTGTAGTAAATAATATTGTACCTACATTTTATTATTTTTTCGTAATATTTTCGAAATGTCGAAAATTAAAACG